GGGGGAGATATTGGGGGGGCTGTGGGGGGAGGGCTAGGCTGCGGGGAGGTGTTGGGGGAGGGCTAGGCTGCGGGGAGGTGTTGGCGGGAGGGCTAGGCTGGGGGGAGGTATTGGGGGGCTGCGGGGGGAGGGCTAGGCTGCGGGGAAGGTATTGGGGGGCTGTGGGGGGGGCTAGGCTGAGGGAAGGTTTTTGGGGGGCTGTGGGGGGGAGGGCTAGGCTGGGGGAGGTATTGGGGGGCTGTGGGGGGAGGGCTAGGCTGGGGGAGATATTGGGGGGCTGTGGGGGGAGGGGCTAGGCTGGGGGGAGGTGTTGGGGGGCTGCGGGGGGATTGCAGGGCTGGTACTCAGTGCGGGAGGCAGTTCTCAGGGCCGGGCTGGGGTTCCCCACGCGGGAGGTGGCAGAGGCGCGAACCCAGGCGTCCTGGCTCCCCGCTCTAACGCTGTGGCCGGTTCCAGGGCCAGTCTGGAGCGATGATCGGGGCCGGGACCCCCGGGGGGGCCGTTTGATCTGCGCCCCGGCCGCCATGACCGAGTACAAGCTGGTGGTGGTGGGGGCTGGGGGCGTCGGCAAGAGCGCGCTCACCATCCAGCTCATCCAGAACCACTTCGTGGACGAGTACGACCCCACCATAGAGGTGAGACCCCTGCCCAGCCCCCCACGCCCCAGAGGGGCCCCTGCCTGCCCAGCCCCTGTGTGCCTCCCCAGAGGGGCCTCTATGTGCCCAGCCCCCAGGCCTCCCCCCCCTCAAGGGGCCCTCGCCTACCCAGCCCGTGTGCCTGCCCCAGAGGGGCCTCCATGTGCCCAGCCCCCAGGCCTCCCCCCCCCCCCCAAGGGGCCCTCGCCTACCCAGCCCCCGTATGCCTGCCCCAGAGGTGCCCCCGCGTGCCCCAAGGGGCCCCGTCTGTCAGGCGCTGGGGCACTCCAAGCCTGTCTCGTCCCCTCCCAGGACTCGTACCGGAAGCAGGTGGTGATCGACGGCGAGACGTGCCTGCTGGACATTCTGGACACGGCCGGGCAGGAAGAGTACAGCGCCATGCGCGACCAGTACATGCGCACGGGCGAGGGCTTCCTCTGTGTCTTCGCCATCAACAACGCAAAGTCCTTCGAAGACGTGCACCACTACAGGTCAGCGGGGTCCTTTCCCCAGCCCGGGGCGGCGCGTGGGTAGGTTGGGATAACGGGGGGCTGCGGGTTGGAGTTGAGAGGTACCATGTGGCAGGGCTGTGGGGGAGCCCAGGCTGGGATAATGTGCGGACTGCGGGTCGGGGTTGAGGGACACCAGCAGGTCTGGGATAAAGAGGGGGCTGTGGGTTGAGATTGAGGAGCATTGGCAGAGCTGGGGGGAGCCCAGGGCTGGGATAATGGGGGGCTGGGGGTTGGGGAACAGTCAGCAGAACTGGGGCGGGCAGGGCTGGGATAATGGGGGGCTTGTGATTTGGGGAGCATCAGCAGAGCTGGGGGAGCCCAGGGCTGGGATAATGGGGGGCTGTGATTTGGGGAACATCAGCAGAGCTGGGGGGAGCCCAGGGCTGGGATAATGGGGGGCTGTGCGTTGGGGAACATCAGCAGAGCTGGGGGGAGCCCAGGGCTGGGATAATGGGGGGCTGTGCGTTGGGGATCATCGGCAGAGCTGGGGGGAGCCCAGGGCTGGGATAATGGGGGGCTGTGCGTTGGGGATCATCGGCAGAGCTGGGGGGAGCCCAGGGCTGGGATAATGGGGGGCTGTGCGTTGGGGATCATTGGCAGACCTTCGCACACCTTGCCTGGCTGTAGATCATGCTGTCCCCCGTTTTGTGGCGGCGCGCTGGGTTGCCGATTCAGGACCCGCTGGCACCAGTGAGCGTTGGCTCCGGCTCTGTATTGAAGCCAGAACAGCAGCCGCCTCTAGTCAATGGCCCCTCAGGAGCCCAGGTGCTGTCTGGCCCAACCTCCTCTGTCCAGCCTGGCGTCCTTTCTGCCGGGCAGCAATGCCCCAGCCGAAGCTGCGGGATTGGGGGCGGATGGTGGTGGGGTCGGTCTTCTCTCCAGCCCCCGGCTGTGTACTTCAGCTCTGATGGCCCCTTTCCTTCTGCCCCAGGGAGCAGATCAGCAGGGTGAAGGATTCGGACGACGTCCCCATGGTCTTGGTCGGTAACAAGTGCGACCTGCCCTCTCGGACGGTGGACACCAAACAGGCGCAGGAGCTGGCGAAGAACTACGGGATCCCTTTCATTGAGACCTCGGCCAAAACCAGGCAGGTGCGTGGGGGACCCTGCTGGCGGTGGGGATGCAAAGCGACACTGGCCTGTTCCCTTGGCCCCAGAGCTGGCCGGAGAATTATTTATTTTATTTATTTTTTAAAATAAGTGGAAAATGCAAAATCTTTCGATTGGGGACGGCTGCTACCCATGTTCTCCTTGCTAGGCTGGGTCCCCTGGGTGCCCGATTCCAGAAGTGACTGGAGACTTCTGGCTAGTCTTGTTCTAACGCGTTTTGGGAGGGATATTAAAGACCTTGTGCATCAGAGCGAGGAGGAGACCTAGCATCTGGGGGTAGATGCCAGCGTCCGCGTTTTGGCACGTTTGTCATCCGCGCTAGGGCTCCTTAACTCTGCACCAGCCGTGCTTTCGGGCGGGGACTTTGTCTAAACCTCCATTTAGCTGCGTGTGTTTCTCTTCTCGCCCGTTCTGCTCTCGTCACGCCAGGGAGTGGAGGACGCTTTCTACACGCTGGTGCGGGAGATCCGGAAACACAAGGAGAAGATCAGCAACGGACGCAAGAAGAAATGCTCCAAGAAGAAGTGCGTGATCCTCTGAGGGACAGACTGGCGCGGGAGTGGCGAGGATCCTTCCGCCCCCCACCCTTCCCCTCCTGAGCCCTTTTGGTTTGTAAACTCCAGCAGCGCAGCGTCCAGCAACATCCTGATGCTTGGTTGGCTTTGGAGCAGCCGGGAGGAGAAGGCAGCAGAGACTAGGATGTGACTCTTTTGATTTCGTGGTTCCATTCGTCCCTGAAGCTCCAACTAAAAAGAAGTTTCAAAACTGCACCGATCTACCCTACCCCCTGACGTCGGCCCAGAGATGCCCTTCGTTTTCCTGGCTGTTTTTCATAGAAGGAAACATCCCCTGGAACGACTGTAGACAGAAGCGCGGGCAGCAAAACCCCAGCTGAGGGGTTGTAATTCCTCCCTGTCCGATCAAACACCAGGCTGTGGTAACACAGATACTAGTGTGGTTGAATCTCTGGTCCTGTTAGCAGCTATCCACGGCCCTCTGGTTTGCTCTCCAGTTGGAGAGCAGGTCTTCACCGGGACAAGAACAGCTGTGCCACCTTAGCGCACAACCTGTGGGCGCGATGGAGGGAAAGGGTCATTTGCTCCCCACAGAAATAAGAGCGTCCAGGCCGAGTGCAGTTTTGCAACAGTTGGAGGTTTTGTAAGTCCTGCAGTTAAGAAGGGTGCCAGGTTCTGGGGATGGCCCCACTCCATTGGCATACCTGGTGGGTGGGAAGCCAGGGACCACGGTGGGGTTTGGGTCCCTCAGAGCAGAGAGATAAGAAGGTCAATAGCTGTGTTTTGAGGGGAGTGATAGATTGGGGTTACCCTCTCTTCCGGCTGTTCCTGGGAAATCCGTGTAAGTTTTGGTGATTGGGAGCGGATCCAGCGGCTCGTGGAAAGGGCTCAGCTGTGTACGGATGCTCTGTTCCTGGGCCCCCCCCCCCCACTGAAAGGCATTTCTCCCCCGATGCGCTGTGCAGAGAATGGGAGCTGCAAATAAACCAGTGAAGAAGTTAACCCAGCCACCCGCGTGCCCAGTCGGTCTGCATTTCCCAATTCTCGTGTCTCGGGCTGAAAAATCGTAGTTGACGTTGAGGGGGGAGCCTGGCTTGATTTCGGGGGAGGAAGGTGGGCGGGCAGAACGGGCGGATCCCTAGGAGACAGACCCTGAGTCCACCGTCATTTAGCTTTTGTCCACAGTTGTTGCTTCTACACAAACGCTCCAGGTCCCAGGGTGGCTGAGTCTTAAAGGTGTCAGTCTCCGCTTGCTCGCTGTGGCTGCGCCGAGCCTGCGGGACCAGGGTGGGATGTGCCAGGGTGGGAGCTGAGCACTAGACTCAAGGCTCTGGGGTGAGGGGTAACCCCGAGTGCTGACAGCAAGGGCTCTGCAGCTGTGGAGCTCGAGGCCAGGAGGTCTGGCTGCCGGAGCGGGGCCTTCGGTTGGGCTGCTTGGGGCAGGGATGGGCAGGGAGTTTAAAACCACCTTTTGTGATCCCCAGAGCTGGGGCCTGCCTGGGCCCCACTGTCAATAAAGCAGCCCCAGCTCTGCCCTCACTTACTGTGATTCCCACTGGCCCTAAGGAGTAGCCACAGAACCCTGCTCTGCCCCCGCTGGGCCCTGGGGGTAGAGAATAGCGCAGCCCAGTGCCCCCCGGCCATGCCCCCTCGAGAGCCTGTGGGGCAGAGAATAGCCACACGCCAGGACATTCCAGCCACAGCCTGCTCCGCTAAGCCCCTGCTGTGCCCTGTGGGCAGGGAATAGGCACCGTGCAGGGAGCCCCGGCCACACCCCTGCCCCATCCCCTATGCCAAGGGCTGGCAGCAAGGCCCTTAGGCCACTCAAAGCTGCCCGAGCAGCACCGAAGGGACCTCGGGCGACCGAGAACAAGGGCTGTCTGTGGGGGGACCCAGCAGGGACGTGACGGCTCAGGCTGCCCCCGCACTGACAGCCACGCTCCCAGTTCATTGGCCTGAACTGGCTTTTTATTTGCCTTCAAGGCAGAGCTGCTCCCAGCGAGGACGGCCAGCAGCTTAAAATGGACCTTCCCTGGCCCCCAAAGAGCTGCTTTCTCCAGTCGGGGTGGGAAGGGGTCACAAAGGTGGGGGCCTCAGGTACCGCAGCTGGAGGTGTGGCCACGCCAGCCCTGTCGGCATGGTCCAGCCAGGCTGCTGCCTGCATGGCAGCGCCAGATAGCACAGTGCTGGCAGCAAGAGGAGTGTCGCAAGCAGGGCCAGCAGCAGGCGGCTGGGGAGGAGGTGGGGCTGCGGCCGATGCAGAAGGCAAATCAGGCCCAAGCGAAACCTGCACAAAGAAACATGCTGCTTTTACAAAGGAGAGATGCTGCGGCTTTCTCCCTCTCATCCAGAATGCACCAGAGGTGCCCCCCCCATCAATCCCTCGGGAAGAAAGCTCCCACCAAGATAAAGTGGGGGTCGAAGATGTCCCATCCCCCCAAGTCTGATCTATGCATGGGGGCTGTAGCAGAGAAGAATTACCACCACCAGTGTTGGCAAACGCCCCCCTGCACACGCGGTTCAGAGTTCTCCGTTAACCCTGGGCGGATATTTTTATTTCACTTTAGACCAGGTTTATTTCACTTTCGCTTAAATCCTTCAGGACGCGGTTTAAGCTGACGTGAAAGGAGAGCGTCCACCCTGCAGTTTGCAGCCATCTAAACCGAGTGAAATTCGCTCCATTAGGCAACCTGGTGCCACTTTCTCCGGGGCGAGCCCTGAGCCTTGTCCGTTTCCCTTTCCGTCTGGATTCCTACGTTGCAAGGTCAGCACGGCCCTGTGATCCACTCTGAGCTCCTGTGGCCGGCTGCCTGAAGGACCACCCTGCCTTAACTGCTGACTGAAACAGACCAGGCCCGTGAGCGAAACAGCCAGGCTTGAGTTACATGTGGCCAGTGATGGAGAACTGACCCCCAGCCACTGGATCGTGTTACAGACCTTTGTCTGCTAGACTGAAGAGCCTGTGATGTCGGTACTGACAGAGTGTGATCAAGTCACCCCTTAACCATCTCTGGGAGCTAAATAGACGTGGCTCCTGGAGCCGTGTTTTCCAATCCTCTAACCGTTCCGGGGGCTCTTCTCTTAACCCTCTCCAATTTATCGACATCCTTGAGTTGCAGACACCGGAACTGGGCACTGGATTCCAGCAGGGCCAAATACAGAAGGAATATAACTACCTTGCTCCTCCTGGGGTTCCTGCTGTTTATACATCCTGGTGCTGTGTGTGATACAGCAGGAAAACCATTTTAGACTCCCCCACGCATTCTCTGGGACACCCGGGCGCTGGCCGGACAGAGCTCTTTGGTGGGAGAGTGGCACTGTGTAGCACGGGGGCGGGGTGGAGGACTGGGATTAGACCGAACTCTGCAGGGAGCTACTCACCATGGGGCTAAGGTTTCGAACCAGCAGTCCTGCCGCTGCTTCTGCTTGACGGGGGACAGCTGATTCCGCACGGGGACGAGTGCACCTTGCTGCAGGCCTCCCGCAGGGCTCCTGGAACAGAGAAGCCAAGCTTTGAATCCCGGTGCATCGTCACGATGAGGGATATTGAACAAGGCCGTTGGCTGGGCACTGTGGGGAGGGACAGCTTGAGGCTACGTGCTCCAGACACACGGTACGTCTACACGGTGATAAAAGACCTGTGGCTCTGGGTCTGCTGACTCAGGCTGCGGGGCTATAAGAGGTTCAGGTCCAGGCTGGAGCCTGGACTCTGAGACATTCCCCCTTGTGGGGTATCAGAGGCTAAATACACTCTGGTTTTATAGCCCCGAACCCTGTGAGCCCAATTCCGCTGACCCAGGCCAGCCACAGGTCTTTAATTGCAGCAGGGAGATACCCAGGCAGGGCCACTCACCTGCACAGAAGCTGAGAAAGTCACAGAGCCCGTTAGGAATAGCGAGAAGAGCTCGGTGAGATCCAGCCCGGCAGGACGACTAAAAGCATTCTAGACGCAGGCTGCACACTGTGCTCTGGCCCATGGGGGAATGGCAAACGCCCCCATTTCTAAGGGTGCCATCGGGCTTTTGCTGGAGTCGGGGAGAGCAGGAGAGCACCAGACGTGATCAGAGACTTAGAAAATGTGACCTTCTGGGGAAAGGCTGAAAGAACTGGGCAGTTTAGTGTAGAGAAGGCTGAGGGGGGAATAACTCTTCCAATATGGATGAGGTTGGTAGGTCTTACCGCCGAGGGTAAGACAAGAGGGAACCGGCTTTGTCGGCAGTGAGCGCCGTTTGGGTTGGATATTAGGAAAAGCTTTCTAGCTTTAAGACGTGCTCAGCAAGGGAACAGGTGACCAAGGGAGGCTGTGGAAACCCCGTTTACGACCAGCTTGGACAAACACCTCTCAGGGACGGTCTAGGTTTACTGGGTCTGTCCTCAGTGTGCGGGGTGGAGTAGATGACCTCTGGACGTCCCTTCTGTGGCTCTGAGCTGCTGGAAATGATCTTAGCTACCGGGAAGTCAGCAGAGCTCCGTGTGCCAGCTGCAAGACTGTTCCATCGCTCAGGGGTGTAACCGGAGCCCTGTAACGGCTCTCCACCCCGGTTAAAATGCCAGCTTGCCGCTTCAGCAGCTTTCGGTCACCCGCAGGCTTACCTCTCTGCTGCACTGGACAATAGAGGGTCTGCGGGCCAGGTCTCCAGACAGATAGGTTTTGCTGCCTGCGAGAAACAATCAGACACAATGAGGAGTGAACAGGCTATTGTTCCAGAGCTGTCCCCACCCTGCTCAGCAGAGCTTAGCTGCCAGACCTCAGGCTGTGCTGTGACACAGAACTGCCCTGGCAGCAGGGTGGGTTTTACAGTAGGGTGCTGGTCAGATTATCCCAGCAGGGAGCCGGGGTCTCTCTTCTCTGCTGGCTCCAGAGGGTTGCCAGGAGGCACACTGCTTGAAATCTGTATTCTTTCACCTAGGGCATAATTTGCTCCGTGATCTAGTGTAAGCTGGGCAGGTTTTCCAAAGGGGCTGAACATTTAGACAGATAAGAATATCTTGGATAATAAGATAATTAAAAAAAACTAACCAGGAGTTTTAGCTGAGCTCCTTGCTAAGGGATTTAGCCTCACAACCCCCTAGGAGGGAGGGAAAGACTGTTATCCCCCATTTACAGCTGAGGGACATGTAAAGAGGGGTAGAACAGGGATTCAAACCCATGTTGCCAAATGCCTAAGTGAGGGCCCAAACCACGGGACCATCTGCCTTGTCTGGTTTAGAGGGGATGTAAACCCTCATGGTTCAGAGACTGCGTTTAAACAATGTGGGGTAGGATATCCCGTAACTGTGGGGTGCTGGCTCGGTCGGTCACTGGTCTGATCCAGCCTGGCAATTCTCCTACGTTCCTAAAACGGGCATGAAAGCTGGCATGTGGTAGGCAAAGTTGGCATTTCAATTGGCTGAGGACTGTAGCGCAGAAGTGGGCAAACTATGGCCCACGGGCCACATCCGGCCTGCGGGACCATCCTGCCTGGCCCTTGAGCTCCCGGCTGGAGAGGCTAGCCCCCGGCCCCTCCCCCACAGCCTCAGCTCGCTGTGCGGTCAGCACTCTGGGCAGCAGAGCTGCGATCTCCTGCCGAGCAGTGCGGTGGCGTGGCTGGCTCCGGACGGGCGGCACGGCTACCAGTCCAGCTGCTCTGAGCAGCATGATAAGGGGGCGGGGAGAGGGGGGTTGGATAGGGGGTGGGGTCCTGGGGGGCAGTCAGGGACAGGGGAGCAGGGGGGTTGGATAGGGGGTGGGGTCCCGGGAGGGGGCGATCAGGGCTGGGGGTTCCCGGTAGGGACAAGTAGCAAAGGGGGTTGGATGGGTGGGGTGGTTCTGAGGGGGGCAGTCAGGGGCAGGGGCCAGGCTGTTTGGGGAGGCACAGCCTTCCCTACCCGGCCCTCCATACAGTTTCGGAACCCCCATGTGGCCCTCAGGCCAAAAAGTTTGCCCACCCCTGCTCTAGCGAGCCGGGTAAAGAGCGGAGGGATCTATACTGCACCACCTGCTCATCTAAAAGGCTTGTTCTGCTGCCAATCTCCGAGCACAAGTCCTGTCTCTCTGGGAGGTCTGGCAGCCTTGTGCCCATTTTATGGACAGTGCCATAGGCACAAAAATGGCTTGCACCTAAAAGCACACTGCACGGCCCGGTCTGCACTTACACTGGCACAGCTGTGTGGGTCGGGGGTGTGACAAAACCACACCCCCAGTGTAGACACACGTAGGAGTGCTACAGTTGGACAGATGGTGCTCCTACTCCAGCAGAACGCCTCCTTCTGTCCGTGCAGGTTGTATCTATGGTGGGCATAGGCTGTGTGGTGTAGAGAGAGTCTAAGACCAATAGCGAACCCAGGAGTCCTGCTCCAGTCAGACTGCTTGGGGGTGCCCAGCTGGAGAAGCAATGGACCCTTAAGGAAATGGATTGTAAAAGTGAGACCCGGGGCGTGGTCAGTCAGTAATGCTGGAGTTCGCTCTTATGGGGAAGTAGGATTTTTGCTGCAGTCCATTCGTCCCTGCTACGACAAGACCGCAGCAGCAATGGCCTGCCTCATGGTGGGGGCTGTTCACATAAACAGGTCCCTTACGGGAAATCGTGAGGCAGACACATAAATAGTGTTAAGGGCCATGTGGGTTTTTTATTCCCTTTTCCCTGGCAGAAAACAATTTTCTTTAAAAGGAACCTCTTCCCATTCAGGGCCCCCGTGTGCTGATAAGAACCTCTTAGCAGGAAAGGGGTAATTAGCGAGCACAATGGAGGAGATTAGCCCATTAAGAGAGAGATGTTCATTTGTCTTTAAGTGGGAGAGGAGGGGGGCACGGTTATAAAGGAAATAAAGGGTAAAGTTCAGAATGGCCTGATCTAACCACCGCCCCCACCCCCTTGTCTCCGCTTGTTGCACAATTCACCTGCAGCCACAGGAAGCATTGTGCACTAGTGTAAATGACTTGCACAAGGGGAGCTCGGCTCTTCCTACTCCTCTCTGCTGGTGCTAGCGCAGCTGCAGCCCCTCCGGGCCGGGGAAGGCCTATTGTAGACGCAACTCCTGCTGCTGCTGGCATCCTTAAGGCTATGGCCTAGATGCTCAAAGGTATAGGTGCCGGAGCACCCACGGGGAAAAATTGGTGGGTGCTCTGCACCCACTGGCAGCTCCCCGCCCCCCCCCCCCGCCCAGGTTACCTCCACCTCCTCCCCTGAGTGCGCCGCCTGCCCACTTTTCCCCCCTAGCTCCCAGCCCTTGCGCTGCGAAACAGCTGTTTCACACGGCTGGGAGGGAGGGGAGAGGAGGGGGAACGTGGCGCGCTCGGGGAAGAGGTGGGGCCGGGATGGGGATTTGGGGAAGGGGTCCAATAGGGGCAGGGAGGGGGCAGAGTTGGAGCGGGGCCTTTGGGGAAGGGGTTGGACTGGGGGCGGGGCCGGGGCGGCGTGAGCACCTACTGGTGCCGGGGAAAGTTGGCGCCTTGTTTCCAGTCTGAATTTGTCTAGTTTCACCGTCTAGCCTTTGGATCAAGTTAGAGTCGTCTGCCGGATTGGAGAGCCCTCGATTCGCAAATTTATGTTCCCCATGCGGGTGCCTACAGACTGTGATCGAGTCGCTCTAGGCTTTATCAACATCCTTCTTGAATTGGTCTCTCTGGGACTCACTTTCCCTATCTATAAAATGGGGATAATCCCTTCCTTTCTCGGCCTGGCCTATTTCAATTCTAAGCTCTTCAGGGCAAGGGCTGTCTCTTGCTGTGTGCAGGTACCGCACCCAGTCAATGAGGCCCCGATTACAGCTGGGTGCTACCGTAACCCTACAAGTGTTACACCCACACTCCTTGCCCAGTCGTGTGTTTAATATTTCTTTCGAAGAAGGAGGGAAAGCAACCAGCTCCAAGAATGCAAATGATCTCCAGAACCCTATTATTCAAATGGCTGGTGCTCTCCACGGGGCGGTTAGTGGCTAATGCCCCCTGGCCGGGTGTTCATTGTCAGCGCGAGCGTTCATCACCATCAATTTCCCTACCGCCGGCGCCACTTTGTAACCGAGCACGGATTGGAGTTGGGGGATGAAATCTTATAGGCCTTTGCCGGCCATGGGGAGGAGAGTAAATCTGAGCTTCTCTGCTGTTCCATGTGCTGGCTGGGCGGCTGCCTGTACAAAGAAGGCTGGTTCTGCAGCTCGCGTAGCTGACACCATCGCAGGATCTGGCCGGAGCATGGAGACACTCGCGCCTGGGTCTGACAGCGCCATTATTATTTATAGCAACTAGAGGGCCTGACTGGGAGCGGACGCCTGCCAAGGCTGTAACTCATCCGGCTGCAATCAGGCTAAAGGCATTCCCCTGGGTCTGCGCTAGCGAAGGTGGTTGGATTTAGCTAGCCCACGTTAGCGAAGGTCTGTACCTTCCCTTCCGGCCAAGGAAGCACATGGGTCTCCACGCAGGATAAGCAGCTGTGCTCTTCACTGGTCCCCCTGGCGAGTTTAAGCTGCTCCTCTGCGCCATGCGCACACAGCTCTGGGCAGCTCCAGTCTCCCCTCTCCTCTGTGCTAGATGGGAAGAGAGGGGTTGTTTATCATCGCAGCAATGCCCTAACAGAGATCGGCGCTAGGCACTGTACAAATACATACACAAGGGGAGAGGGTCACTCTCCCAAAGAGCCTACGTGCTAAAAAGACAAGACAAAAGGTGGGAGGGGAAACTGAGGCACGGGGCAAGGAAGGGACTCGCCCAGGTTTGCAGCAGAGATGGGACTAGCATGCAGGTCTCCTGACTCCCAACCGAGTGCCCTATCCACTCCCCACGCTGCGTCTCACTAACGGATCCGTCTGCCAGGGAAATAATTTAAAGTCTGGTTTTACGCCCATCAAGAACCACCAGATTCCACAGATTTCCCAAGAGATCACAGCTGCTCCTTGCAAATGCCCCGCTGCTCCGGATCGGCTGGGAGTTCGGCAGATAGCTTGGCTGGCAGTGGGGAACGTTGTTATTTATTAATTGTTTATGTTGCAGACGCACTTAACAATCCCAATTAAGGATCAGGCCCCAGGCTTCATTGGTCTGTGGGTGTGTACATACCCATCCCCCCATCCTGGGTTAAGGGTTAAGCACAAAACAAGTAAGGTTATCTGCCAGCACCCAGATCAGCACGAGGGGCTATGACGAAAAAGCTGGTGCTCCGTTCTCCGCAGGCGGTGGTAAAGGAGTGAAAAAGGCGCCCCCACCGACTCTGCTGCAAACACGGCTAAAGCCAAGCAAGGATGAGAGACAGGCTGGTTCTGGGTGGCTTCCATGGAGCCGCACCTATTCACGCCAGCGCCCAGGCTGGCACCACGGTCTCCGCACCCTGACGTTGTGAGACGGGCGTCCTGACCCAAAGCACTACATGCTCCATGAAGACAGCGGCCAAGTTTGCTGTCACACTTCCTGCCAATTGTTGGCTGAGCTAATTAGCGCATCGGTCAATCTGCATACACTGCAGGCCGCGGCTAGTAATTAAGCGTGTGACTGGCGCAGGTATTAACATGGATCAGGAGATGATGATGCAGGACCAGACCCTGTGGTACCAGCACAGGGCACTTCCCCTAGGCCAAAGGGAGGAGCGTTTCCCTGAAGTAGCTGCCGATTATGTCAGTTACCGGCGTGTGTCAATGACGGGTACCTCTCCACTGCAATAAAAGACCCACGACTAGCCCGAGTCAGCTGGCTTGGGCTGCGGGGTTATGAAATTGCTGTGTAGACATTCGGCTCAGGCTGGAGCCTGGGAGCTGAGACCCCGCAAAGGGGGAGGGTCCCAGAGCCTGGGCTCCAGCCCCAACGTCTACACTGCAGTTTTCTAACCCTGCAGGGTGAGCCCCAGACAGCTGCCCTGGGCCAGGGTGGCTGTTCCGTGGGTGTCTTATGGCAGTGCAGACGTGCCCGATGGAGCTGGGGGAAGAGCGGGCAGCCTGGGACGGGCAGAAGGCAGCTCCCACGTCCCTCATCCCCTCTTCGTACCTTTCTGGCATCTCCGGCGTCAGTCGCTGCTCAGCCAGAACTGTGGCTTCCCCGGTGGGGCTCGGCTGAGCCAGCCATGCTGGGGTGCAGTCGGCCGCGCCCACGTCCTGGGGAAACAGGTCCCTGAGTCAGTGCGGCCAACAGCCGGGTAAGGCAAACATCGGGGGGCTGTTGTCCAAGGCTCCCAAAGCGCGTCCCCGGGCCAGCTAAGCTCTGCAGTTCCCATGTGAGTGCGGCTGGCTCCTTTTAAGCCACAGACAAGAGCAGAGACTCACCATGCTCACGCTGTGAATGAGGGGCAGAGGCAGGAATAGAACCCAGGAGTCCTGACACGAGTTCCCCCTCCACTAGCCCTCGCTGGCCCCTGGAGTTGGGAATAAAATATCTCCCACTTCCCTGGACCACATTCCCTTCCACGGCAGGGACTAGGCCTCACAACTCCTGACTCTCAGGCCCCCCCACCCCGCCCTAACCTCTACACTCTACTCGCTGCACGAAATGGAGACCCCAAGAGTTTTTAATGCCCCCTGCATACGGAGCGTGCCTCCTACCGAGCCCCTGCCCCGCTCCCTGCAGCACAAGCCCCCTGGCGCCAGCACTGAGGGCAGAGCGCCCCCTGCAGCACCGAGAAGCATTGGAGTCAGCACAAATAAGGGAGAGCACCCCCTGCCGAAGCACCAGGACATCCTGTGGCCTTAGCTGGGCTTTTGCTGAAGGCCTCCCTTCCAGCTCGTGCCCTGTCCCGTGTTCGGCTCTGCGAGATTTGACTAATCTGAGTATTTAGCCCAGCATCTGGCCTGCCGTCAGCCCAGCACGGCGGCTCTCGGGGTCGAGTAAAGGGGCAGGGCTCCAGCTGGTGAGAGAGCTTGAATATTGCTTCCCTCTCCTCCCACGGTTCCCGCCCTCACCTGCTCCGCTGCCACCGCCCTGACGTCCACGGGACTCAACCCGACCAGCAGCTGTACCGACGCAGGCGCTGCTGAGCCTGGCCACATCCCACACAGCGGGTTGGGCAGACGGGCCTCGGCCTTTCGTCCCTGCGTGGAGAATGGGGCGGGGCGGAAGTGCACATACAACAGTGATTTATCCTCGTGTGAACCGTCCTTGGGCGGACTGAGGGTCAAACCCTCAGCTGGAGAACATCGGCAGAGCCCCGTTCCGCTAAGCCCATGTGGCTTCTAAAACGCAGGTGCTCGGTGTTTCAAATTAGCCGAGGGAGCCGAAATAACTGGCTGCCAGTGAAAAACAGGGACTAAACAGCCCCCTGCCTCAGTTTACCCCCTGGGCATCCTGCAGATGAGGACACGGATTTGCACTTTGAGATCTGTAGATGAGAGCACCCCGCACGGTTATTCCTTATCGTTCTAATACTGAGCCCCGGGACGTTCCCTCCCAGGTCAGAGCTATTTGGGGACGTTTCTAATGCAATTCGACTGTGGTCTGATATATCAGCCCCGCCCTGCAGATGCTCCGGGACTGCTGACGCTGCAGCGATACTGCGGCGTTCTCTCGCCCTGTCTCTGGAAGGAAGTGGTGGCGGCTTCCCCGGGGGACGTGGAGCTGTCCGGGTCCGAGTGACAAGCCCAAGTGCAGTGACGGCTACCATCGAGCTTTGCACACAGAAGGGATGTGAAAAGCTGCTTTGGGGGAGATGTTTCCCTGGTCTTTCTGTAGTAGTAAGCAAGCGCGCTGCCTTGATTCATAGATTCTAGGGCCAAAAGGGACCCCTTGCTCCTCTGGTCTAACCTCCTGTATATCCCAGGCCATAAGACTGCCCCGAATTAATTCCTGTTTCAACTACAGCAGATCTTTTAGAAAAACAGCCGCTCTTGATTTAAAGAAGGCCTGGGACGGGGAATCCACCAGAGCCGTTTCAAGTGGTTAATTCCCCTCCCTGTTCCGAGTTGGCTGGGGAACTGGGGGTCAGCATGGAGTCTGAGGACACAGCACCCCCTACTGCATGCTGTGGGCCAGTGCCCCCTACTGCATCACCAACGCTTCTACCCTCCTTTGAGGCCTCCCGGACGGCTACTGAGCCGGCCTAGCCTGGCTTGACTTTTGAACTCCGCCAGGATCAAAGCACAAGGTTAATTGGGCTTGCCAGAACAATGAGAGAGCCAGGCTGCCCTTCCCCCTACCTGCTGGATTTCTTCTATCTCCACGCAGAGCGGCTGTACAGGAAGCTGAACGTGGGGTTTAAGCTCGTGGGGCAGCTCCTCCGGCAGCCTGTATAAACACAGTCAGTTCTCTTTCCTCCTCCAGCCTCAGCATTCAGTCGTCTAACCTCTGGGATATCCCTGCTATTCACATAAATATCCAACCCCTCTTTGAATTGTACTAAATTCGTGGCCCCAGCAGAACCATGTGGCTATGAGTTCCACAGTCTACTCCCCAGTAGTTACAGGTCAGCTCATGGCCAGACTCAGGTGGGCCAGAGCTCTTGGCAAGTTATTTTTTAATCTTTACCATTTGAAGTCTGGATGGTTTAATTACAGTTAAGACCAATGAAATTTCCAGCAATCGGCTCTGAATTCAAAATTGCAGGGCAGGGAGGGTCTTTATGTTCAATGTTTGTACAGCACCGAGCACCGTGGGGCTGGCACAGAAAGAGGGCGTTGGTTGCCTTAGGTCAGCAGTGGCAGAACTGGGACTATACGGCCTCTGGCAGATCTGCCTCCTGGGCTACCGAGCTCTTTTTGCTAGCTATCTGCAATGGATTTTGCTCCATTATATGGTGCCTGGGACGCTGTACAAACGTTACAATGATAAGCCAGGTCCGACTCCCCTGAGCCCCGGTGACTTTTCCATCCCTGACTGTTGTGATCTGAGAGCAGTTTGCATCATCGAAAATGGGCCCTGGGTGACCCAGGGGGAAAACACCCAGCCAATTGCTAGGAGCATGGCAGCAGCACCAATGCCCTATGGGACCAGGTGCTGTACCTGTGTCTAAACAGCCAAGAGAAGGATTATCATCCTCCGATGGGGAAACCGAGGCAGAGAGAGATGAGGGTAATTGTGGCAGAGCTGGGAACTAAGCCAGTTCTCCTGAGTTCGGTGCCTTACCCACAGTCCTTCATAACTCTGAGCCTTTATTATCGTCAATGCAACATGGGCAGGGCCAGAGAAGAGCTCAGAAACCTGATTCTCTGGGGTCGTCTGGATCTCCCATCCCCAGTGCGGGAGAGCTGCTAAGCAAACTGAACTGTCTCCCTGCCCCCAACATTCCTTCCTGTGGCGTCCAAGCCCCATAGCTTCCTCCTGAGCACGAGGCAGGAAGAGACTTTGCTCAAACCGCACACCTCACCTCGGCACAGCGTGGTGCGCCTGCAGTGTTCATGCCGAGTTATGAGAGACAGGCCCCGGAGCCCGACACTCGCTGGATAAAGATCACCAGAGAGTAGGGCTGGGAGGAGTGTTTCTGCATGCACCCGGTAGCTCGTGGATCAGGGCCCTTTCCAAGCAGGTGCAGTCTAGCTTCCAGCCTCCGGTGAAATTTGTCCTGTCCCCGGCCACGCGACCCAGTTTTACGCCAGGCACTGGGGTCTGAGCTGGGAAGCGGTGAGGTCAGCGCTCACATTACACATCTGCCCTGGGCTTTAGCAAGGCGGGGAGCTGAATTTCAGTCTAGCTCTGGGGAAGAGGCTACAGGGAACAATCCTGCCCCACCCTGAGGGGCAGGGGATGGGCTAGATGGGAAATGCGGGTTTCAGAGCTGTCCCTAGGCACTCGCTGGAGACAGGGCTGCCGAGTTTGCTTGGACATATTCCTGGAGGTTTCATCGCATGACATAATCTTTAATTAAAGATTAACCTTTAATTCCTGGAGACTCCAGGACAATCCTGGAAAGTTGGCAACCCTAGCTGTTTTTTTTGGGTCCAGCATCCCTGCCCTGTGAGAGCAGCCCGAGCTCCCGTTCCCATGCTCTCTGCTCCTCCTCCCACCTTTCTGACACCCCTGCCAAAGAATGACAAGTGCCCTGACCTCTCCCTGGCAAATTGTTACAGCCATCCCATATCGCGGTAAGGCCAGCAGTTCATGCATTACGTTACGGTTCCAGATATAAAGGGCGTGCAGAGGTTTTACCGAATGGCTAACCCGTCGTTAGAGCCCCACAGCTCAGGAGGTGCCTTAGAACGGTCCATAACACCTTGCGCTGAGGGGCTTAGAACCGTCTCTAACCCACGCTGCTCCCGTCCGCTACATGCTTATTAGATCTACTGATCGCTAATTCGCCCTTTATAAAGGGAGCCTGGTACACAGCAGGACAGGGCAAGGCCCCGGTCACACAATATGCACACACACACCCCGGGAGTTTTGCCACCTATCTAATCTAGGTCTGTCCGTCTAAGTGCCAGTGACTGGTTCTCATTCTGCCTTTCTCCAAGAGATTAAAGAGCCCTTTAATACCCAGGATTTTCTCCCCAGACACTGCAATCAAACCACCTCATGCCCTTCTTTTTGGAGACACTAAACAGACGGAGCTCCTTGCGTCTCTCACCGCCAGGCACCGTTTTGCCCAGCTCTTGAATCATTTCTGCAGTTCTTCTCTGCACCCCCTCCAATTTTGCAACATCTTTTTTAAAATGACGACATCAGAACTGGCCGCAGGATTCCCGTTTCGTCTCACCATCACTCAGAGCACACGAGAAGGGATTCCTGAAACGAGCCCCTCGCTCCTGCCTGAGCCAGGGCAGAGCTTTTATGAAGAGACACTCTGTCTTGATTAAAAGACTGATGGAGAGACCCGCCCGTCCCGAGGTGAGTTGTTCCACTGGTTAATTACACTCTGTTAAAAATCGGCATCTCATTTCTAGTCCGAATTTGTCTGCTTCAACTTCCATCCATTGGCTCTGGAGTGAGCTAACCTAGGCCTCAGGGTGCGTGTGTGTGTCTGCCCTCATTAGACAGACACAGGGACAGATTAGATGGGATAGTTTATGGCTCAGGGAATAAACCATTTCATCTGCCTGAGGTTCCCTTCTGAGCAGGTTATTCCAGGACCGTCCCTGCTAGCAGCTGGCTGCCGGAGGGGACGGGACAGAGCCCTGGCCTTGCAATTCCCATGCAGGACGGACAGCGTTCACCAGGCACCCTTCGGGGGAGCCAGTGGCATGCTGCCGGGTATGCACTGGAGCCCGGAAGCAACCCCCAACACTCTGAGCGGGAAGCTGCACGCATCGGACTGTACGGTGCGTGCGGTAGAACTCCCACAGCGCAGCTCCGGTCTTACTTCTTCAGGGATTGCAGGGCGCCCCCTACGGGCTGCTCTCAGTAATGTCCATGCTCCGGTGGCCCCATGGGACTCAGCTGTGGCACAGAATAACCAGGGAATAAGGCTCTCTCAGCTACACTCCCTCGCACCCCCCTCCTCCAGCCCGCTTGGGGCTGTTACTCAGGTGGCTGTGCCCTGGGGGGGTCCTGTCAGGAATCAGGACCTGTAGCAGGCTGCCTGATGGCTAGGAGGGGTCAGCCGTTTGGTGGCTGTGACAGCTCCTGCTTGTCCCCAGCCTCAGACCCAGCCCTGCTCCTACTTCACCTCAGCCCAGGTGACCCGGATCTGACCTCAGCTCCAATTCCTGACTCCGGCTCTGACCCTTGGCTCGGGCACCTGGCCTCTGACTCCTGCTCTGACCTTGGGCGCCTCTTCCTGGCTACGGACTCCTGCTCAAACCGCCCACGCCCCGGTCTCTGACACATTCTCCCGGCCCTTCGTGCCAGCCTGGCCGGTGTACAGACAGTGAACAGAGCTGGGTACTCTGCTCAGAAGGACTTACATGGCCAGGTCTTCGGTGGTTTGGCACAGCTGCTCCTGCAGCTGGCTTATTTCCAGTCTCAGCTCCTGTGGAGGAAGGACCGATCCTCTGGAGTTTCCTCTGCCACATAAGCCGTGTTCTCCCAAACCACCCAGCTCATCGGGCATTGCTACAGCCAATGGGCCTAGTTCTCGGTTACACTTGCACCCCTCTAGGTGGCCCTGGCACAGTAAAGGGTCCTTAAAGTGGGGCAGAAATGGCCCTCCAGAAACTCCCCACTGTGCAAGGAATATAACGGCTCTCCCCATAGCCCCAGGCATAGGAGGCCGGTGGGGGGCATGGCTGGAGCACACGGCATTGTGGCTGTTCTCCGCTACCCAAGCCCCACAGGAGCCAGATTGGAGGCGTGGCCAGAGGGGACCATAGGAAGCAGGCTTTAAGTTAGAGCAGCCCTGAGGTCACTCTAACCTACGCCAGGGCCCCCTATCCACAGCTCTGGAATACAAGGAGTGCAAAGATGGCTTACAGCAGAGGTGGGCAAACTTTTTTGGCCCAAGGGCCCCATTGGGGTTGCAAAACTGTATGGAGGGCCAGGTAAGGAAGGCTGTACCTTCCCAAAGAGCCTGGCCCCCGTCCCCTATCCAACCCCTCCCACTTCCCACCCCCCACCCCAAACCCCCAACCCATCCAACACCCCCTCCCAGGACTCCCTGCCCCTAACTGCCCCCCAAGACCCCACCCCCTATCCAACCCCTCCTGCTCCCAGTCCCCTGACTGCTCTGAACCCTATCCACACCCCGGCACCCTGACAGGCCCCCCAGGACTCCCACGCTTATCCAACCCCCCCATCCCCTGACCGCCCCCCAGAACCTCCACCCCATCCAACTGCCCCCGCTCCCTGTCCCCTGACCGGCCCCCGGAACCTCCCGCCCCTTATCCAACTCCCCAGCCCCGGCCCCCTTACCATGCCACTCAGAGCAGCATGTCTGGCAGCCGCGCCGCCCGGCCAGAGCCAGACACGCTGCCGCGCTGCTCAGAAGGAATGTGCAACCCCGCCGCCCAGAGCGCTGCCCGCGTGGTGGCGTATCTGCGGGGGAGGGACCTGGGGCTAGCCTCCCCGGCCAGGAGTTCAAGGGCCGGTCAGGACGGTCCCGCAGGCCGGATGTGGCCCGCGGGCTGTAGTTTGCCCACCTCTGGCTTAAAGACACCTTAACCTGCTCCTCCCACACTCACCCCCCTGCCGGTGCCTGGCACAATGGCATGAATACTTTTGGGGGCCATTTGGCCTAGGACACCTGTCTCCTCCATGGTTCACTGCTCCAGGAGGAGGATACAGAGAGAGCACACAGGGCTGGGCAGGGACGATCCAAGCTCTTTGGTGAATCAGGTGAAGAGGCCAACGGAGCAGATGGACAGGACCATTCATTACCTGTACCACTGTCCTGTACTCCGCCAGCATCACTGTCAGTTCTTCGGCACGGTTTGTTTTCTGTAAAAAGCCCCAAAAAAACAGCTTTGGCCTCTCTGTCATGGTGACTTCTGTTGCTTCAAAGGGGGCTCTGACAGATTATCCCCGCGTAGCTGCTTATTAGACACAGGTCTAGCTTTGATCTTAATTGTGAGGCTGCAGCGACACCCGCTGGTTGTGACGAGCACTGACAGCACACCCAGAACCACGATTTGCATAGGTTTTAAAGCCAGAGGGACCATTGTATTCATGTAACCAGATGCCTGCACCGAGACCCATAACTTCTGCTGGATGGAAGTTTAAAGGCAGCTGTACACAACACACATCAGTGACATTAATAACACCTGCCCTTACCAATGACTTTTCATCGCTAGATCTCAAAGCGCTTTACAAAGGAGGTTAGTGTCATTACACCCACTGTACAGGTGGAGAAACTGAGTCACAGAGCGGCCAAGTGACTGATCCGAGGTCACCTAGCAGGCCAACAGTTGAGCCGGGAACAGAACCCGGGTTTGCTGAGGGCCAGTCCAGCGAAACAAACAAACAGGAGGATGGACAGAAAGGAAAATTCAGTACTAGAAACAACACCACCCACGCTGTTCGCAGTCACATACCGATTGCTCACCTCAGTAAGGGCAGTGTCTTTGCAGGAGAGGAGAGTTTCATATTCACAGAGCTGGGCCTAGAGAAAGGAAATATATACTTCACCCTTAGCCCGTCATCAAAGATCTCAAAATACCTGACATTCACTGGTAAATTTTCAAACCCCAGTGGGAAAGAGGGGTGGTATAGGATCATAGGAATGTAGGACTGGAATTCCCCCTGTCCAATCCCCTGCACTATGGCATTAATCCCATTTTGCAGCAGGGGAAACTGAGGCATAGGGTGGGGAAAGAGCAGTGTTCCCCCAAGATAAGACAACAAGTCAATGGCAGAGTTAAGAATAGAACCCAGGTGTCCTGATGTCCACTCAGATGCTCTAAGCCACTACGTGATACAGGCCAAAATGTTGGGAAATTCAAACATTTTAAAATTAAAAGTAGAAATCTCATCATTTTTCACAAAACAAATATTCCAAAAAATGTTTTCTATGAAAATAATTTAGAATAGAATAGTCAAAATGGAACCTTTTGATAATTTCCTGTTGAAAGCGAGACGATGTCACAAAACATTTAGATTTTGTCATATCAGCATTTTCGATCGGAAAATTTCTGACCACTCTGCTTAACAGCTAGGAGGATTTGTACGGATGCAAAAGTCTTTGCTGGGCTTCACACGCTTGCTTGCAAGCTACTCAAGGAAGCCACCAGAAGCTGCGGGTTCTCAGCGCTGTTCAGGAGGAGGTACTTAGAGCCTAGCAACTGATTTAGGTGACACGCATGTTTGCAATGGTTGTTAGTACCTTCAGATCTGCCTTCTCAGCAACCAGCCCTGCAACCTTCTGCTTCACTCTGTCTCTCTCTGCGAGCAGCTTCCTGTTCTGTAAAGCAGCCGCAGGTCAAGCTTAGGGTTAATTAGCAAACCGTAGCAGAGACATGAAAAGGGGGCTCTCTAGCTGCTCCTCTGGCCCCTTCGCCAATGAAATGCAGCCACTGCTGCGGTGGGACGCACAAGCAGTTGAAAGGTGCAAGCAGCTTAGCACAGGAAGTGAAAATGAATTCCACATCCAGCCGAAACTGCAGGAGCAATTAAGGCAGTTTAAACGCAGTTCTACCATAGACTTCAGTGGAAGTTAGGACCCTAAATATCTCTGAGGATCTGGATTTTGGCCACACTGAAACCTGATCAGGACACCGGGGTTAATAATTCCTGTTCATATTAAAGAATGCCAGGCCATAAGGGGTCAGACGCAGTGTTGCATCTCCCCAGAAAGACGACCGCTGCAGCAGCACAGCACCCCCTCCTGCTGCTGTCCTGGGGCCCTGGCGTCAGCACTGATGCTGGAGAGTGTCCCCTCGGAGCCCCCTACCCCCTAGCACAACGCTGGGACACTGGAATAATTGATGTTGAAGCCAGAAGGGACTATTCGGATAATATAGCTTGACCTCCGGCAGAACACTGAGTATTTTACCCAGAATTTCCCACCGCCCGCCCCGTATCTAGTGGTTGAGGTAAAATGTCTCTTTCAGAAAGACGTCCCGTCTTGATTTAACGACTCCAAGTCCTAAAGACTCTGTCCTATCCCTCGGTAAATTGTTCCAAAGTGACATGTCTAATAATCCTCACTCCTAACATTGCACGCCTTGTTTCCAGCCTGAATGTATCTAGGCCAGAGGTGGGCAAACTACGGCCTGCGGGCCACATCCAGCCTGCGGGACCGTCCTGCCCGGCCCTTGAGCTCCCGGCCGGGGAGGCTAGCTCCCGGCCCCTCCCTGGCTGTCCCCTCTCTCCTGCAGACATGCCGCCGCGCGGGCAGCGCTCTGGGTGGCAGGGTTGCGCGCTCCTACCAAACAGCTGCCAGACATGCTGCTCTGAGTGGCATGGTAAGGGGGCCGGGGGGGTTGAATAAGGGGTGGGAGGTTCCGGGGGGCAGTCAGGGGACTGGGAGCAGGGGGGTTGGATAGGGGGTGGGACCCCGGGGGCAGTTAGGGGCGGGGGGTCCCGGGAGGGGGCAGTTAGGGGACAAGGAGAATGGGGGGTTGGATGGGTTGGGGGTTCTGAGGGGGGCAGTCAGAGGGCGGGAAGTGGGAGGAGTCGGATAGGGGGCGGGGGCCAGGCTGTTTGGGAAGGCACAGCCTTCCCTACCCGGCCCTCCATACAGTTTTGCAACCCCAATGTGGCCCTCGGGCCAAAAAAGTTTGCCCCTGATCTAGCCTCAGCGTCCAGCCCCTGGATTCTGCTCCGCCTTTGGCTGCCACCTCAAGGAGCTCTCTAGGTACTCACAGACCTTTTAGTCACCTTTTCACCTTCTCTGTGATGAGCTAAGGAGATTGTATTTCATAGCAAGGCAGATTTTCCAGACCTCCTCTGTGCTCTCTCTCAATTCACTACTGACTCAGAGGGGAGACTGCCTCCCACTGAGTCACCCACACTGCCCCCTGCGTGGGTCTTGGTGATTTGGCATTAAAGTACAGACATGGTTGACTTCACAAAGACAGTTCCAAACTTTTGCTACTCTCCAGAGCCCTCCTCACCTCCTCTTGAAGACAGTCCACTTGTAGAGAGAGGCACAGCTGTTCCTTCTCCTATAAGTTTAAAAAACAAAACAAACATGGACCTAAGCTGTATCCCCCAGAGTTTGCCTATGCTGTTATTAAAGGAATGGCCACGTCTCGGTTCAATAAATTGCAATAACTGGGCTGCGGGTGCTACTTGTTATCAACACACATTTATTTTTACATCCCCCTGCAATCCGGGAGGTTAATTTGCATCAAGAGCCGAGTGCCCCACGACAGCTGTGCCACGCCAAGAAACCACTCATGGCTGCAGCAGATGGGAACTTTGAAATGCCCATGGGTTTAAAGAAAGACAACAAAAACGGAAGTGTACTCAGTGCTGGCAAAAAGCGCCAGATTGACAGGCTGAAATCTGTTTATTCCACAAAGCGGGCACACTATGGGCAGTCGCCGGGAAAAGGTTTTGCTCTCCCCCACGCTGCCCCCTGCTGATTTTCCTCCGCACTGCACTGCTGGGTTATCAGTTGGTGTAAATCATCACACATCTGCCAATCCACCCCACCTAAGAATCAGGCCCTAGGAGTTAGAGACCATTCAAGCCTGGATCTCAGGGGTGACGGTGAGTTTATAACGCAAAGGACTGTTCTGCTAGGCAGGACGCTGAGCCCCATGAACTTGTTACAGGTTTGAGAGGGATGTGTCAGTTTCACATGGTCACTTTCTGAGGCTCTCAGCAAAGAGAAGGCAAGGAGGTTGAGATTTTCTTGGGTGGTTACATAGTCTCACAACTGGGCAAACAGCTGCAGAGAGAGTGCGACTTGTGCAAAGCCACATGATAAATCAGCTACAGTTTCAGGTAGCGAACCCAGAAGTCCTGGCTCCCAGCCCTGCCTGCTCTAACCTGATTCTCCCCCACCCCCGAGGCAGTGATAGAACCCAGGAGTCCTAGCCCCACTGCTCTAGCCACTAGGAAATACCGTTTCCCCAGTGAAATCAGGCTAGCTGCCTGAACCCCCAGCCAGGGAAATGTTGCTGAAACAAAGACTCACAAGCACCTACCAGCTGCCGGGCTTGTGAGTAAAGTTTGCCCTTCTCCTCTTCCAGACTTTTTGCAATAGCCTTCAGGTCTTCTAGTTCGTTAGCCACTGATTTAGCCTGTTCCAGGGCCTGTTGCGTGCTACCAAGGAGAGCAGCCGGTTAGGAGAGGCCAGTAATTCAGAACCTCTTAATTAGCAACAGTCAAAGTAGCCTGAAATAACTGCAGTACAGGGCCAAGATATCTGAGTTTCCTTGGAAGCCTTAGGAGTTGCAATGGTTGAGGTAAATGATGGATGTATTCGTTATTACTCTTTGTATTTCGGTAGTACCTAGAGGCCCAGTGGTTGACCAGGGCCCCAGTGTGCTAGGTGCTGTACAAACCGAGCAAAAAGATGGTCCCTGCCCCAAAGAGCTTCCAATCCGAGCAATGAATACAGCTGCTAAATAAACACACAGCGGTTACTCAGTTTAAAATATCCAGCGCCCAGAAGGGGGAGATTGCTGAAGCATTGTGATATAACGAACAAATAATAATAACTCCAGACCGAGCGCTTCAACTGCCATTTAAATACAGCCAGCCAGGAATGGGACGTGGAGGCCGTGTCTCAGCACGCACCGAGGCTGCACAACAGATGGGCACGGGAAGACAAGGTGAATCCTGTACCCAGTCCGCACCTCAGGCAGGGGAATTTAGGGAGGCGGGATGGATTAGGCAGGTTGGGATGTAGCCAGCAACACCTGGAAGAGCAAGCCCTATCCTGCAGTGAGCATGCCTCAGGACCTCAGAGACTGTGAGCAATCAGCATGTTTAATGTAGACCTCACCCTATCACCTCCAAACAACACACTGGAGCAGTGGGGCCAGCAGTGAGTGCCGGGGAGTGCGCCCCCTGTTCAGCCCCTGCCCCACTCCCTTCAGCACCACACTGGGTGCCTGAGGAGAGCACCCCCTCCTGAGTGTCACACACAGCTCCCTGAAGCACACTGCCCCTAGAGCCATGCTGGGGCATCGAAGTCAGCGCTAACCCAGAGAGGGGGACAGTGCCCCTCAGCCTGCACCCTGCAGCCCCCGCGGCTGCCTCCCATCCCACTCACCTTCTCAGTCTGCCTTGCAGCTGGGAGAGCTCTTCGGTGAGGCGGGAGTTGAGTTCCTCAGCTGCCTCGATGGTCCTCTGCAGCTTGGCATTCTGCACGGCCAACTTTTTGTTGCCGTACTCCAGGTCTTCAATGCTGCTCATCAAGGCGGCAGCCTCTTCCCTTGGAGACCAGCATGAATGAAGGCAAGGGGGCAGTGGGTAGGGAGATCTCGCCTCACTTGCACTACCGTCACGCCAAACAGCGTCACCCACTCCACCTCAGTCTCCACACCACAGGCCCAGCGCTGATCGGGGAGCCTGAGATTTTTGTCTTAGCCCCACTAGGAAATGGACTGGAACACCCCCACCCCATATCACACCTGACTGGGTGGCGCTCAGATGGCATTGCCTACAGGCTGGCAAAGGAGACCTGGATCGGCACCACCTGGTAAGACCCACCAGAGAGTGATCAATCTAGATCACGCTAGCGATCAAGCTAAGCCAGCGTATGGTTTCTAACAGTGGCCTGTGCTGGCTGGTTGGGAGAAGGGCGTGATTGTGAATGCATCTCATTACTGAACACAGCACACCTAGGAGAGTTCTCCCTTCCTGGCTCCCTGAAGCATGTGAATGGTCCCTGTGGCTGCTGTTCGCATACAGTAAAGCATCTAATCCTTTTCTGGAAACTTGCACAGGTATGAGCCGCTAATATCCTACAGCATGGGTCAATGACATCTCAGCCTTCCTGATCTGGCTGACTAGAAGTTAATACTTACGAGTTTACAATGCTGACATCCCCGCCATATCCCTCCAACTGAGCAGCACTAGAGACAGGCCGCCTCCTCCCTGACGAGGAAAACCAGAGAGCAATGTCAGGACCACAGCCTTACAATGGGTTTCTGGTCGTGACGCTCGCGGCTGCCAGGAGTAGGAAAAGCAAATGGCAACCTAAAGATCAATATCGAATTATGCCCAGGAACACCTGCTCCCTGGCTCCCCCTAACCGGCTAGGAGGGGTATTAAACTGAGGAATAAGTTATAACTGACCTTTAAGAGTCTTTCTCTTGTCTGTGAAAGGCCACTGGCCCCTCCTGGGCTGGGAGGATGTCACAGCTTCTGAGCTGCGCTGAGGGTAGGGGGTGCAAAGGTGGCTGAATGCTGTCTGTGTTTCCCCAATTCTGGAGCTATCCAGAGAGCACTTGAGTCTTCAGCATGAGATAGAGCAGCCCAGAGGTTGTTTTAACTTACCCATGGCTGCTGGTAGCCCTTAGAGGTTGTGACTGTGGCTGGGATAACTGGAAGGCAGAGATACTCTGGCCACGTCCCCGCTTTCCTGTGCCAGAGGCTGGGGGGAAAGACCTGGCGTGGCAGGCCTACTCAGTCTATCCTCATACAAAGTATAATGTAGGCTCTTATTCCGCTCCCATCACTGCAGTTTTTGAGTGCATCAAAACTGGCAGAGCACCAAAGAAGTGAGGGCAGAGGAAGGCACTTAGGACCAGATCCTCAAAGGCATTTAGGCACCTAACTCCCATTGGAGTCCACACTCCTGGGTTCAGTCCCATCATTGAGTCCAGTCCCCATCCAGGGGACTGGACTCGATGACCTCTCGAGGTCCCTTCCAGTCCTAGAATCTATGAATCTGAAGATTGCCCTAAGAACTCCCAGGTAGCCAGTTCCGCTAGCTTTCTGGCTGCTTTGCAGAAGCCCAGAATTGGGTCCCAGAAGACCCTTGAACCACACGCCTTCACATACACAGACAAACCCAATCAGACACAACCCTTCAGCCCTATAAGCTAATCAAGCTCTTTCTCCTACAGACCAGGCAGGAAGAGAGAGACCGCTGTTGATTATTCTATTTATAAACCCTCAGGAGGTGTTCAGATGCTACAGCGACAGAGGGGCTATGCAAGGATTAATTATGAGCGTATTTCAAAACCTGGGTGGTTTCCTGTGTCCCCAGCAGAAAGGGCAAGGACAGACGTCTCAGTCAGGCCAATCAGTAGCACAGCAGGCTGCATTACCGAACCGTCTATATTTAGAATTAAATACACTGTCCTTTTTTTATTATCCCTTTCAGCACAACTTACCAGATGGCCACAGGCACATATTGTCCACAAACTTGTCTCGCTCCTTCGTGCTGTCTAATCCCCTGGAAGAAACATAAATTAATAGTCATAATTCCCACTTTATCACCATTCGTACTAAATGAATCGTGTGCTCTGTGCGTATCGGGTGAATATTTTCCCTATTCACTCCCCGCATCTTAATAAACACAAGGATGAAAATAGTTCTTCAAGTTTAGTGGGGGGTGTTGTACCACACTGTAATTAAGGCAGGACGGTCGCTTAATTAGTCGGGGGTAAGAAACGATCAGGTCTCTTTAATGATTTAAGTCAGAAAAACTATGCAGCAACAGGTGAGCCTTAGGGGTCATCCATAAAGCTCTGTTAGAAAGCCCAGAGAAGGGTTATATTATGCATTTCATGTGGCTGTTTTGTTAGAAGGGAACAGAGGTCATAAATATTAATATTGATAACGATTCTGGAAGCCTTTTTTGTTTGTTAAAGACTAAGAGGCACATATCACATAGATACACAGCTGGATGGAACAGGGCGTGGATTCTTACAGCAGTGTGGTTCTCTGATAAGAGAAAGAAACTCCTAGAACAACTCTGGGAGATGTATATCAAGTCCCCGCAGGGGCGTAGGAGTCAGGACTCCTGGGCCCCAACTCTTGGAGAGAATATAGACTAGGAGGGCAGAGCAGGACTCCTGGGTTCTATTTGCTGCTCTGTGGTGTTGTGTTGTCTAGGAAGTTAGAGCAGGAGGGAATGGGAGTCAGGACTCCTGGGTTCCACTGAGTTCCTGGGTAACCCTGGAAGGCCAAGCCACTTGGCAGATGCAGATCAGTGCATAGCCGGATATTCACAAGGCCTTAGGTGCTAAACACCCATTCGTTTCCATTTTTTAAAGTACCGTTGAACATCTGGCCTTTCACCTGTCTGTGCCTCAGTTTCCCTTTCTGTGGATGAAAATTGCTGTGGGGTTCTAACACCTAAGCCACAGCTGTTCCTAAATTATCTACTCACCCATCCTGCCGACAATCTGCAATCCAGTTCTTCATGACAGCATGGAAGGTCGGTAAATCCACAGTGACGCCCCTCTCTTCTGGGTCCAGCATTTTGTAAAGCAACTGCAGTCTCCCTTCCTCACAGCTTTGCCCTGTCACAGACTGTAAGTACTCGATAATATGGAAAACAGACACCTGTCCTGCAATCAGAAATTCAGACACACCAATACTCACCCCCTAGCAAACCGGGAACATTGCTAGAGATGGAAGGTTCGTCTTGTGACTACAGAGATGGCCTGGGAGTTTGGAGACCAGTGGAATCAATGGGAGGGAGGCCCAGATCCTCAAAGGGATTTAGGTGTTTGAGTTGCTGGAATCCCTGTGTAGTTGACAATGGATTTGTGCATTGTCCTAAATCCACATCAAGGCACCTAAATAAAGTGATTTTGTTTTCAAAGTGACCCACTGAGGTCAATGCAACCTCTAATTAACAGGTGGGGCCATCTCTGCTGCAGCTACATGGTAATCTATGCCCCTTCTGCTTCATAGCAGTATAACCCCCCCCTCACCCCTCCAGGAAGTTGACCATGCAGCCTGCTTTCAACTCAGCCTTGTTAACTCCTAGGAGAGTGGAAGATCCCAGGTACAGGACACTAGGACACAAGATGTTTTTTTCAAAGGTCTTGAGAATGGGCGGTAGGTGCAGGGGCTGGGATTTGCCATCTGAACGCTCACTGGCTGATTCCACTCTGAAAGGAGCCTTCGAATCTAACGCACAGGTTGACTTCCTGGCAGCACTGAAGTGGCTGGGACTCTGCAGGGGCTGTGCATTTCCAGCTGACACTAGAAAGCTTTCTACCTGTTTGTTCCAGGTCACAGGCTTCAAACGTGCAGGTCAGTACGTGCTCCTCGGAGCATCGGCTCTTGCTGCAGACGGCAGCGCTCTCCCATGACTCTAGTAAGGAAGAAGAGGAGAGACGTAACACTTACGGGCTAAGAACATAAGAACGGCCAAGCTGGGTCAGCCCAATGGGCCATCTAACTCAGTAACCTGTCCGCCAGTCCCAACTTCTGGCAGTCAGAGGTTCAGGGACACCCAGAGCACGGGGTTGTATCCCTGACTATCTTGGCTAGTCGCCATTGATGGACTTACCCTCTATGAACTTATCTCATTCTTTTTTGAACCCAGTTATACTTTTGGCCTTCACAACATCCCCTGGCAATGAGTTCCACCAGCTGACCGTGCATCATATGAAGAAGTACTTCCTTCTGTATGTTTCAAACCTGCTGCCTATTCATTTCATTGCGTGACCGCTGGTTTTTGTGTCATGTGAAGGGGGAAATAACACTTCCCTTCACTTTCTCCACACCACTCTTGATATTATAGACCTCTATCCTATCCCCCCCTTAGTCATCTCTTTTCCAAGCTGAACAGTCCTAGGCTTTTTAATGACTCCTCCTATGCAAGCGGTCCATATTCCATATCATTTTTGTTGGCCTTCTCTGCATATGTTCCAATTCTAATGCATCTCTTTTGAGATGTGGTATCCAGAACTGGACACAATATTCGAGTTGTGGGTGTGCCATGGGCTTATATAGTGGCACTATGATATTTTCTGTCTCACTATCAATCCCTTCCCTAATGGTTTCTAACACACCGTGAGCTGCTGCACATGGAGTGAATGTTTCCGGAGAACTGCATGTCTGGTTCCAGACCTAATTACCTGTAAGCAAACTCACCCCCCTTCTGGACTGTCCTATGATCCCATTACTGTGCTGTGGGATAGTGGACAACTTGCCTTTGCGATTACACTATAAGGAACAATCCTGACCTGTCTGAGGGGGCAGAAAGGTGGGGAATGGTCTCCCAGGAATCTAATACTATAGGTTTTCCCCCTGCACTAACTTTTAAGATGCCATGATTCAGACACACACCACAAAAATCCCATGCTTATGCCCAGGGATATCAACAGACCAAATTCTGCTTATAGCAGCCCACATCTGGACTAATTCCTCGGACTTAAATTGAGTTACTCGGGATTTATGTTGACGTAACTGAGGGCAGAACTTGGCCTGACAGGTCAAATCACAGGACGTGAGTCAGGGGAGAATTGAGTTCACAAAGGCTGATACGCGTAACCACAGTAAATATGTAGGTATGTATCTTTCCATCTCCATACACTCCCCCACACCCCATCTATCTGTGATGCAGCAACCACCACAGTACCCAAGCATTCTTTGATCTCTTACCCTGACAACTTGGAATAACCAAGTCAGCGTCCATACTCCATACTAAAGCAAGCCCTACTGAGCAGCGTGGTGGGAGGCAGCTGTGTGGGACAGGATGATTCATCCACCTCTGTGACTTATCTCAATTCAAATAAAACCCAGGCTGCTCCCCCATGCACCCAGGGCCGGCTCCAGGCACCAGCTTAACAAGCAGGTGCTTGGGGCAGCCAAGGGAGAGGGGTGGCACCTGCGGCAATTCGGGGGCGGCAGGTCCCTCACTCCCTGTAGGAGCGAAGGACCTGCCGCCGAACTGCCGCCACCGATCGTGGCTTTTTTGTTGTTGTTGTTGCTTGGGGCAGCAGAAATGCTGGAGCCGGCCCTGCATGCACCCTACAAAGACAGCATCAGTGTTCATAGAATCATAGAATATCAGAGTTAGAAGGGACCTCAGGAGGTCAACTAGTCCAACCCCCTGCTCAAAGCAGGACCGATCTCTTTTAAAAGAGTCCCTCTGGCGTGAGAACACAGCATTTAGTGCTAGTCAAGGTACAGAGCACCTTACATGAACTCTCCCAGCATTATAGCAAATGTGCTCCTTGCTTTTCCTCTTCACCCTTAAGCTCACACAGAAAGGACCCAGTCCTGAAATCTAGTCTGCACCACTGGGGCTCCTGTACAGATCTGATTGCAGAATCAGGGCCTAACCTGGGAGGCACCATGGTCTAGCAGGCAGAGCACCAGGCTAGGCCTTCTGAACACCTGGGTTCTAACCCCGTCTTGCTGTTTGACCGTGGGCACGTTAACAGTGTTGACGGTGAATTTGTCATCCGTAGGTTTCAGAGAACAACAACCCATTTGGAGGAATCTCTCAGAGCTATCGCTGCAGACTCAGGCAGACCGTACTGCTCACTTGACGACTTGGGTCACGTTTTCAAGGTCGTATCTGCCCCCGTGGGCCCCCATTCAGCAAAGCACTTAAGCACCCTCTGGGTGCCATTTCCTCAGCTCATAAGGTAGCGTTAAAGAATGTGAGGTGCTCAATTACTGCAGGAATGGGGGACATAGAGTAGATAGACAGACCCCATAAAGGGCGCTACATACCCTCTGACGACTGGACCATGGGCAATTCTGCAACTGCTGCAGGGTTAGACGTGGTCTCCATGTTCACCGGCTGACCTGTTTCTCCACAGCAGCTGACTTCATCCGAGATCCAGGGGGAAGCGTCCCCCTGCGGGGAAAGCATGTCTCCCGAGGCCATGTCTCCCATCACCTTAGCTGGCCCTGCAATAAAACAGACAGGTGATGCCCTCCAAGCAAGCTCTCTGTTGGGAATAGGGTAAACTGCAGCAGATTGATTGATCTAATTAAATTAGACGAGAAGAGAGGTTAGAACGGGTAGCGAGGGACTCCCTAGACTGACGGGCTAGCTGTACAGGGATAGCCACTGGGTTAGCTGAATTGATGTATTTACACCAGTACAGCCAGACCCTCAGATTACGTGCGGGTGTATCTAGGAGAGGGTTTTGTCCCAGTGGTGCCATCAGAACTTGGCCCCAAACTGTGTTCGCTTTTGGAAGAGGTCCTAGGGGAACCCGACCCGTTCTCAGAATGGAAACCGTCTTGTCTAATCAAATGGGACATCCATCAAACAGAGCAAAGGGAGGGCAATGTGGAGGTCAAGTCACACACCCCCCGTGCCCATTTAAAGCTTATTTGTGGGGTTATCCAGGGCTACCCTCCCTACCCGAGGGGGTGGATTTAGGGTAGACAGCTTATCTGAGAGGAGTATTTGGGAGCAGTGCCGAAAGAAAGAGAAGGGGGACAATTGTACCAGGGCCCTGAGCTCAAGGCAGCCCCCAAAAGTCTGTAAAAATGGGGTGAAATGGGACATGATGAACCAATGGGCCAGGTAACTTGGGGGGTGTTATCTGGGATGTCTGGCCTACATGAGGGTGTATTTAGGGAGAATGGGTTTTATTCTGACTCGGCCACTGGCCTGCTGGGTGAGCTTCAGCACATCCCTGCCTCAGCTCGTGCCTCGGTTTCCCCATGTGGAGCTAGTGATACCAACCTCTTTTGTGGTTTAGGGGGGGAAGTTGGTCTGTGGCATTCTCTGGGGTTGGTGTGACTGTTAGGGGGCTAGCTGGGGATTTGGGGTTGGGTGGTTTACGGGGGCAGTTGGTCTGTGGGGTTCTCTGGGGTTGGCGTGACTGTTAGGGGGCAAGCTGGGGATTTGGGGTTGGGTGGTTTACGGGGGCAGTTGGTCTGTGGGGTTCTCTGGGGTTGGCGTGACTGTTAGGGGGCAAGGCAGGGACCACGGGGGGGTGTGTGTGTGTAAATCATATCTGTGGCTGGGCACAGGCTCCTTGAGGGAGAGCGATTGGCACCAAGGGCTCTGTCTGGGTGGCTGTTGGCGCGGGCACTTTGCCATGGGATGCTCCTTGTGGGTTTATTGGGGGGGGGATATTTAAAGTTCCCCCAACATTTACTCCCCCCACACACACAAATTAGCTGGGGGGGGGATTTGGGGAGTACCTCATCATCACTCCCTCCCCCCCTTTAACCCATGGCAGCCATCTCCCTGGTGGCTGAGGGGCAGGCTGCCCTCGGAGGGGGAGGGGCGGAGACCCAGGGAGGGGGCGGGGGCGGAGCGCGGCACTTGCAGCAGCCGGCGCGCGCGCCTCAGAACGCTGCAGCCCCTCCACGAGAAAGGCGGGAACATTCAAACCTGGGGCGGTTGGGGGCGGGAGCAACGGTCGCGGCTCGAGCCCCTTCGGCTCGGTGGGGGAGGGGCGGGTCTATGTCACCAGTGGCTTATGGTGTGGGGGGGTCCCCCAAATAAACCGGGCTAATCACCCCCACATGTGTTAAATAGAGGAGGGGTGAGAGGTTGCCCCCCCCCATGAGCAGGGCACCCCCAATGAGGGACCCCCCAAAAAAGTGAGCGCCTCCGCACAGGTGAAAGAAACACTGACTGACAGGCTGCAAGCCGTGTGGCAAGCGGGCAGCACCCCTTCAAATGAGACGGGGACCTTAAAACGAGCTGGGGCTTTTCCCCTGCGGTTCTCAAAGCATGTTACCAATGAGCAGTATCGGGAGCCTCACAGATGGGGAAACTGAGGCACGGTTTGGCAAAATGACTTGCCCTGGCTCAAACAGAGTCCAGCTTTCCTGAGGGTCTATCCACTAGGCGACGCTACCTCTTGAAGATGCTTATTTCAGCCATCTTGAGAGGGGGGGGGCTTTCTCCTTTGAGGGTTGGGGGGCTACCCGCAGGAGCAGAAATCACAGTGGCAATTTAGGGTGAGGTCAGAGGTCACAGCAACAAAATGACCCCTTCAGAGCCCATGAATGACTGGCCTCCCCCTAAATTAGCATCTCCCCCAAAAGAAGATGGATTCATTCCCCTCATCCACATGAAATAAATGGGTCATGTGGGGCAAGGAGCTGTCATGCCACTGTGACTGGTGACCCATGGACACCCCCAAATGAGGGGCTCCCCCAAACTAAAGGGGATTAACTTTCCCCACATAAATAAAGTCAGTGTGCTGTACTTTGCGCCATAGGATGCACAACATGGCGTTGCTGTGGCATCATGACCTTTGACCCTTCAGGCAGCTCCCCCCCCTCCCCCCGAGAACAAAGTGAATTCATTCTGCTACATACCTGAAATAATCTTTCCATATTACGGGCCGTAAATAGCAAGGCAAGGAGTGCCATTACGCCAACATGACCTCTGCCCACACGGGCGGCCCATCCTCTCATAATGCTTTCCCTGGTAAAATTAATTCTCCCCACCACCCATGACACGGGTCCAATTATGCCCTCTATTCCCCCCCCACACACACACTTCCCCAAAAAAACCTGAAAATGGTTAGCTTTGTGCCCCAGGAGACCATCCAATCCCCAATTCCTTCCACACTTCCCAGGGGCACACCTCAATGGAAAGTGGCTGTAAAAGGGGGTGTCTTGGGGTGAGGGGGTTCTGTATGACCTCGGCCTAGTTCTGGAAGAACGGACAGGATGGGATGCCAAGACATGTAATGGGCATGGAGATGTGTAACCATTCAAGGCCTGCGCACCTGACATACTTGCACAAACAAGACAGGCATGAACAACAGCTATCCCTTCACCAATACATTTCACACTCTGTGGAGACCTCTTACAAGTGTGTGTGGGGGGATTTCAAATAGGGCCTGGTGACAGATTAACAGTACCACTAGTTTTTGTGGTGGGATCCAGTCGGTCCTCAGATCTAGGCTGAGAACTGCCCCTAGCGATCAGAGAGTTGGGTCACTTCTCTGATCTAGGGCAAAAGGCCTCACAATCCAAACTCTGAGGTGGATAATAATCATTTCCGTAGACAGTGGTTTAGGACAGGAAGTGGAGAGTAACACTCCCACTTTTGACGCAATAGCAATGAGCACATTTACAAGAAGCTGAATGGAATTGCCCACAGCTGAAATTGCACCAGCAGCCTAGATTTACTCTTGCAAAAAGTGTCATGAAATCTCTAACGAGCATCAGCGCTTCAGTTTTATGTGTCGTTCTGCTCCCCTCGTTCCCACACACTCTTTGTGTAGCTTGTGCATCTGAACAGCAGGTGGCAGGCAGAAGTGGCACCATAATGAATCCAACCACAACTGCACACACGATGAAACCAGAAGTCCCAAAATACAGCCTTGATTACAGATCTTCTACAAGTAGGAGCAGCAGGTGCCTGATCTTTCTCTCCCACAAAACCCACATGCATTCCCTCTCTCTGACACGTACACACACCATCTGATCTCACGCAAAAACACATTACAGTAAAGCTGTCACTGACAATACAAAAAACGTGAATATAGGCCCCAAACAGAGCTAGATCCAATAGGACGTTGTGCAGATCAATTAAAGCAGCCCAGGATTTTATATAGATTCCTGTACAAAACTGGATTCAAGCCCCCTGAAGCAATAAAAACCACAATTACTGCATGCACTGAGAAGCCATTGCCCAGGGGTAATATACATCTGCTGCGTGTTTAATGTCAATCAAATAATTGAAATTGATTTGCTGCAAAGCGGCCGGAGATCGGTCACTGTCAGGCTATTTGTCTGCAAAAGCTACTGATTTAGGTGGAAAAGGGGAAGGAGAAAGAGAGAAGGGAGGGATGAGCCACGTCAGTCGTTAACAGCCGTGGCTGAGCGTGAGTCCTCAGTAAAAGCCAGGCCCAAAGTACTGTCCCAGCTGATTGGCCAATTGCCAATCCTCCTCATCCCAGAGCACCAGGCTTGGCTGGAGGAAAGACAGCTGTCAGCCCAAGCCCCTCAAATCCATGTTGCCCTCTGGCCTGTGGCCTATGGACATTGTGCTGAATCTGGAGGGAAACAAAATGGTGGCAAAGAGTGAATGGAGGCCACTTCCCAAGCCTCCTATAATGGTCGCTGCTTGACAGGAATGCCTCACTGCAAGCCCTAAGTGTGCTCGGGGACTCTGGAGTCACAGCGGTCAGCTAATAATGGGGGGCCAGTCAGATAACTAGGAATGGACAATGTCCGGACGTCTGAAAGGCAATCTGTAAATCTAGCACAGATTTTGGTTTCTTGTTGATGTGTTAAACTGGTTCAGGTTCATCTGCATCCATCCCACTCTATTCCTTCTTTCCCACACACAACTGTCTATCCATCCATCCCTCCTCACATACAACTCTCCATCCCTTCCTCCCCACACATACCCCTCCATCCATCTATCCACATCTCTTCTGCCATTACCCGAAGGAAAAGACACCCCACCTACGCCCACGCCCTGAAGGCAGACTGGGAGTTCGGTCTCCATTTGCAAGTGACAACCTGGGGCCCTGTACCACATGCATTAGAGCTGAAGCACATCAAGACATTCCCTGCTTCCAATGCAGTTGAGGTGACCCCCAAACCTTCCTTACCCATCACTCTTGCCTACACGGACAGAATCGCCTAGACCTCCCGTGTATCCCCCAAGCCATCAGGTTCAATAGGCTGCCATCCAGGCTCAGACATGTCTCTCCTTCTGTCAGGTAGGGGGCACAGACTGGGAATGGGAGAGCTACATAGAGAGGAGGGACGTGGTCAAACATCCAGGAGATCCTTGGAGAAGAAGGTTGGTTGTGGGCTCAGGGACCCAGGAGCTCTGAGTTCGATTCCCAGCTCCTTGGGTGAGTCATTTTATCTCCATCTAAGGGCAACTCTGTGGTCCACAGCATCCGAGCACCTCACTCGTTAACGCATTTATCCCTCACAGCACCCCTCTGAGGCTGAGAAGTGGGGCACAGAGAGGCTAAGGCCCAGATCCTCCAAGGATCCCATGGGAGTTAGACCCCTAAATCCCCTGCTGGACCTAGGCCTTAATGACTTGCCCAAGTCTGTAGCTGAGCAGGGACTCAAACCCGTGCCTCCCAGTCGAGCAACCTTCCCAGCCTCAGCTCCCCCATCTGTAAAACAGGGGATATGAACTCTTCTGTTCAATATAGGGACTGTAAGTTCTTCAGAGCTAGCACGGTGTGTGTCCCTCGGCCCAGTGGGAGCCCCTGATTGCAGCTGGAGGCAGTAGTAAATCTGGCACAGATTTCAAGGCCAGAAGGGTCTAGTCTGACCTCTGGCGTAACACAGGCTGGATCAATTCACCCAGTCAGTCCTGCAGCAAGCCCATCTTTTAGCAGCCTTGGCTTCTGTCTGTCCTGAATTTTGTGCAAGCCATGGTGTGTGTGTGTGGGGAGGGGCGCCCATTATTCCCTGCCCCCCTAAGCCAGCCACTCCCGCACCCTGGGGCCGGATTGGAGCAGGTGCCCCCTATAGGGGAAAGGCCCTGTGTCCTATTCATCATTCCCTTGAGACAGCCAGTCCCCTGCGCTGGGGCTGGATCGGAGCAGGTGGCCCCTAGAGGGGATAGGCCCCGTGTTGTATTCCCCATCCCCTTGAGCCAGCCAGTCCCGTTCTGGCACAGAAGATGCCCCAATGCATCACCCACACTCACTGTGTCCTTAGCTTTTCACTCCCAGCACTGGCTGGCAAGGAGGGAAGAGGAGCAGAACTGGGCCGTCCGGCAACCATGGTCACTCAGGCAGCCCTGGGGAGAAGGGTGTATTTCAGCAGCAGCTGCAAGAAGGACTCCACGCCCTTCCTAATCCAGACACCCCGGTATCTATATCATCCCACAGACCATGCCTGAGCAGGGCCGGCTTTAGGCCAATTCCACCAATTTCCCCGAATCGGGCCCCGCGCCTAAGAGGGCCCCGCGCCCAGTGGCAGAGCCGCCGGTGTGGGGGCAAGTGGCCGAGAATCCCTTCCCTGGCTAGAGGCTCCTTTTTAATTTTTACTCACCCGGCAGCGCTCCGGATCTTCAGCGGCACTTCGGCGGCGGGTCCTTCACTCGCTCCGGGTCTTCGGCAGCACTTCAGCAGCAGGTCCTTCAGTGCCACCGAAGACCTGGAGCGAGTGAAGGACCCACCGCCGAAGACTAGGAGCACCGCCCGGTGAGTACAAGCCCCACGTGTTTGTTTACGTGTTTTTTTTTTTTTTAGTCATCCCTGCTGGGGCCCCGTCAAAACTGTTCGAATCGGGCCCCGCACTTCCTAAAGCCGGCCCTGTGCCTGAGTGAAGGGGGGAAGGCGGCTGGGGAGATCCTGTCAGCATGGTCCCCTGCCCCAGAAGGATTGCTCCCCATTTCTCACTTCTGTTAGAACACCAACCATCTCATCAGAAAGGGCTCACGCGTCCCTGGATGAACAAACCGGGGAGTGGTGGGTAGAAGCCGGGAGGTGATTTTACCTCTGTATTCGGCGTTGGTGAGACAATACTGGAATCCCGGAGCCAGTCCTGGTGTCCACATTTTAAAAACAATGCTGAAAAACCAGAGAGGGTGCAGAGAAGAGCCACAAAAATGATACGAGGGCGGGAAAAAATGCCTCACAGTGAGAGATTTAAGGAGCTTGATATGTTCAGCTCATCAAAAAGAAGATCAAGAGGTGATTTGACTATGTTTGATGGGAAGGAAATCCTGGGTGTGGAAGGACTATTTGATCTAGCAGAGACAGGCAGAACGAGAACCGGTGACCAGCAGTTAAAACTAGACAAATTCCAATTTGGCCAGTAAGGCCCACACGTCTTCCAGTGCGGGTGATTCAGCCTTGGAACAAACTCCCCCCCGGGAAGTGGTGGAGTTTCCATCGTTGGCTGTCCTCCGATTCACACTGGCTGCCTTTCTGGAGGAGATGTGTCAGCCAAACACAAGTTGTGAGCTCAGAGCAGGGGTAACGGTGAAATTCTCTGGCCTGTGCTCTGCAGGAGGCCACTAGATGATCTAATGGCTCCTGGTCTTAGAATCTATGAATCTGCGCCCCTAACGATTCGCCTTTGATGACAAAGGAGGTGTCAGAACATCTGGAGAGGAGGAAAGGGGTAGTAGCCACAATACTGGCCTGGCACTCTGGAGAGCTGGACTCAGTTCCCAGATCTGCTACAAACTCCCTGTGTGACCTCGGGCGTGTCACTTCATCACGCTGCTCTTGCAATTTTACCTAAGACTGGCTTGGTGTTCCCATCACGTGAACTGGTGTGTCTGGGTAATATCTGGCACAAGGGGCGCCCTGATCTCGCTTGGGAGGGGGTGTCTGTGCAGCACCTGGCCCAGCAGGGGGCCCCAAACTCCGTGGGGGGGGCATACACCTAAGAAAAATGATTTTGCATTCAGTACCACTGGGAATATTCTGCAGAGTTGAGCAGAACTCAAGCGACTGGGGTTATCTGAGAAGCTGATACCGACTGCAGAGCATTCACACAAGTTCAGCCGATCCAGTGGAGACCTGTTCCCTGTGGCAGCTTCGTCTCCATCACTGACATGCCACATGCCAAGCTACCCAATCCTGCTGCCACTTGGGTGAAGAATTCTGTCTGCCACAGGTGTCTGAGCACCGGAGGAAACCTGCCTTGTGTTTAAATAACTTGCAATTCCCCCCACTCCCAACACCCCTTCCCACAGCGGCTCCAAAATTCGGTGTGGGTGCAGGGAGCTAGCCCCATTGACTCCAGTGGAGCGATGGCCGATTGACACCAGCTGGGGATATGTCCCAGTCCCACTGAGTTTCCTTCTGATCACCTCATCCTAAAGGGATCTAGTACAAACAGGCCAGGTCTACACTAGGAGCATTGTACTGGTGTACTACGCCGGCTGCAGCTACACTAGCAAAGCTGGCCTTTTACCGGTGTAGCTTATTCCACCCCTACCGAGTGAAACCAGTGCAATTTTGCCAGCCTAACTGTGTCAACACTCAGGGCTTCTGCTGGCACAGTCAGGGATCACCCTTCTTCATACCCCCACTGGCAGAGGCGGTCATGTAGACACACCCTTATAAGGGGGTTCGATGACGGGTGACAAATACAAGGGGACTGGGAAATCTTGCTGATGAAGAGCGTTGGAAAAAACTAGGAGACGAACATGCGGGCAGCCGCTAGAGGCTACAGCCAGCAACAAATGGGATGGAGAAGGTAGATCAGTAACTTTGATCCCCCCCGTGAGACCAGAGCAGTAGACCCCGAAGCACCCTTCAAACCTGCCAGGGTCCCTGTGTGGAACATGGGTGTCCCCGGCTAAGCCGGGGTGGCATAGAAGCTGTCGATTGGTTAGCTCTATTTTCTCTGGAATGCTTTTGTTCCGCATAAGTGATACTTTGCTTTATGAAGCTGGCGCTCACTGGCATCGCTGGTGCCAAGCTAACGTCAGATCTACTGAGAATCAGCCTGAACCCCGCTGTGACGGGAGAGTATCACAGGTGCCTGCCCCGAGAATGGGGAGGGCTGGGGGCCTGAGACCAGAGTGGGACGCTGTAAGGCTTAGCGGTGCAGTCGCCTGCCTTCTGATCCTGAACCGCAGGGACCTTCAGCTAAGCTGAACAGGGCGAACTGAAAACTGAGCAGAGAAAATCCACCCTGAGCCTGCGGAACTCATTGCCGCTGGCTCATTCTTGAGGCCAACTGCTGAGTGGACTGGCCAATGTAAGCAGCTTGGGGCACTGGGGTCCTGGACAGCTCTAGTGGGGTGATGCCTACGTAAAAGCAGCTGAGTTTAGAATTTCATTTCTCCAATTTACCCCCTGCCAGAGAGAGAACTTTTATTGCAAGAAAAACCAAGGAGCAGGACTTTATACACAGATCCACCAGCATCCTCTCCATCACCGACTCAAATCTCTCTCTCCCTTTTTGCTACAGCTTCCTGAAGAAGAAGAAAAAATGGGGCCTCCGTGCTACAGCTTTGTGCCAGGCCTGAGTAATGGGGGGAGCTTTCTTCAGAGGGCGGGGGGCTTCCATCAGCCCATCCCGGATCGCTAGCAGCCTGTGCCTCCTGTCGCTAAGGGATGCGCCGTCCGGCCAGCTGGTGTCAGAGGCCTTCCCGGGCCTGGCTCTGCGCCGTAAGTGGATGATGAGGAAGGCCAGCCCGGGGCGGGGGATCAGCAGGACGTGTCTCCCTAGGACAGGGTCTGCTTCTGCCCCATCACCTGCTCCTTCCTTGCTAGACTCTGCCTGGCTTCCCTGGAAGAGACACAGGTAAATGGGGAATGTGGGACATGGTACCTGGGCCCAGACTGGTGAGGAGATGCCCCTAGGAGGAGAAGGAGGTTAGAGCAGCAGGGGCTGGGAGCCAGGACTCCTGGGTTCTTTCCCCGGCTCTGGGAGGGGAGCGGGATCTAGTGGGATAGAACTTGGGGGGAGGGTCTGGGAACCAGGACTCCTGGGTTCTTTCCCCGGCTCTGGGAGGGGAGTGGGGTCTAGTGGGTTAGAACGGGTGGGAGGGTCTAGGAACGAGGACTCCTGGGTTGTATCCCTGGCTCTGGGAGGGGAGTGGGGTCTAGTGGGTTAGAACGGGTGGGAGGGTCTAGGAACGAGGACTCCTGGGTTGTATCCCTGGCTCTGGGAGGAGAGTGGAGTCTAGAGCGGGGGCTGGAGTCAGGAATCCTGGGTTCTATCCCTCGGAGGGAGGGGAGTGGTTAGAACAGGAGAGCTGGGAGTCAGGACTCCTGGGTTCCATCCCTGGCTCTGGGAGGGGAGTCGGTCCAAGCAGGGGGGCTGCAAGCCAGGACTCCTGGGTTCTGTTTCCAGTTGTGTCCCTGCCTCGCTGGGTGCCCTTTGGGCATGGGCAGGCCTTTCCTCGCTCCGTTCCTCAGTTTCCCCTCCCATACAAGGCAGTTGGTGATCCTGACTCCGCCTGTTGCCAATGGATGAGTGATGACAGCGAGGAGCGTAGCCATGGGGCCAGCGTCAGACTCCTTTGGTCTGTTACACTGTCCCCTGGCCCGGAACCTGGTTCCGAAGGTCTGGCAGGCGGGGAGAGGGGAGACCAAGAGGTGGGGTGGGGGAAGGGGGTTGATAAGTTTCTGCCACTGACTCTTCTTTCCCCCCTGGCTGCAGCCCCAACGCCCTGTTTGCCGGGAGATACAGGCGGCAGGTGCCCTGCACGCAGCCTCGCAACAGAGCGTCACAAGTCTGCAGGCACCAGGGAATCAGGAGACAGGCTGTTAAAGGAGCCAGCCAGTGAAGGAGGGGGGTCCACGTCGGGGCGGGGGGGTTGTGTATAGTAACTGACAGAGCTGGAGAGAACCCGGGAGTCCTGGCTCCCAGCCCCCCCTGCTCTAACCACTAGACCCCACTCCCCTCCCAGAGCCCAGGAGTCCTGGCTCCCAGCCCCCCCCCCTCTAACCACTAAACCCCACTCCTCTCCCAGAGCTGGGGAGAGAACCCAGGAGTCCTGGATCCCAGCCCCCCCATGCCCTGGCTCTAACCACTAGACCCCACTCCCCTCCCCAAGCCAGAGCAGAACCCAGGAGTCCTGGCTTGCGAGCATCTTCCCAGAAGTCCCTAGAGGTGCAGTCCCGCTGCCAACCCCCAGCGGAGGTCACTCAGGGCTCGCGTCAATGACGCAAATGCGGGGTCCCCACCCCCAACCCCACATCCATCCCCAGCCGGCTCTGGGCTCCAGCCGTGCCCTCGTGTGTCTGCCTGTCCCAGCCCCTCCGCACTCACCCGCCATCTCTCCGCCAGGCCCCGCTCCCCTTGCTCGACGGAGGTCACCGTCCTGTCGGAGAACAGCATCGCGCCCGTCTCGTTGTCCGTCACCTGCACGGGACCGGGACCGGGACCGGCTCAGCCCAAGGAAGGGGGCTGGGGAAGGAACTTGGGTCCGAGCAGGGAACAGCCACAGCACAGGGCGCTCCGGCCATGCCCCCGTTGGGCCCTGGGGGGGACATTACTTCCCCCCCCCCACTAGCCAGGGAGCTGGGGTCAGGGGGGTTCGTTCCTAGGTGAAGATCCACATGGAGATTTCAGGTCCCCTCTTGACCCGGGCGTCCCTGGGGGAGCCCTGCGGGTGGGGGCGCCACCCCCCTGCTCCTGCTCACCTTGTTGATCTCGCGGTGGCTGTACACCGTGGCGTTCCCCACCCTGCGCTGCTCCTTCTCCTCGGTGTGGTAGTTGGGGGGGAGCTTGCGGAAATCAATGGGGGCCTCAAAGCGCCTCTCCTCCTTCCCCAACACCGCCTGCAACAACCCACATGGACTGAGTCCTGGGAGTTACAGTCCGTCGCCTCCGCCCCAGCTCCTAGCCCCCCGCTCTAACCACTAGGCCCCACGCCCCTCCCAGAGCCCAGGAGTCCTGGCTCCCAGCCTCCCGCTCTAACCACTAGGCCCCACGCCCCTCCCAGAGCCAGGGAGAGAACCCAGGAGTCCCGTCCCAGGTAGCGGGGACGGCTGAGGCTGTCAGGGAAGGGTGGGGGGTTCCTGGTGGCGCCAGGGGATGGGGCAGGGTGGGAGTCCCAGAGGCTGCAGGGAGGGCTGGTGGGGATGGCTGAGGGTGTCTGGGGAGGGGTGGGGGGTGCCTGGGGAGGGACAGAGGGGCAGGTGGGGGTGCCTATGGGTGGGGATGGGTTGTTGTGGGGTCCCTGTGGGGGATGGGGATGGCTGAGGTCCCTGGGGCCGCCAGGGGATGGGGTGGCTGAGGGTCGCTGGGGAATGGGGATGGCTGGGGGCCCCGGGGACCCCAGGGGAAGGGTGGGGGATCCCTGGGGGGCGGGGGGTCACTCAGTCTCACCCGGCTGCCCCCCAGCAGGTGCTGGAAGCGGCCCAGCAGGCGACGGGCGACGAGCGGCAGGAGGGAGCCCTCGACCCCGGCCAGCAGCGCGCCCAGGGCGCCGAGCAGCAACCACCGCGCCCACATCGCGCCTGGCCCGGCCCAGCCACCGGCGTCTGAGCGGGTCTGCGGGGGGACAGAGCGGGTGGTGGGGGGCGCCGCTCCACCGCGGCCCCTTCCCTCTGTCCCCCCGGCCCCTCCCCCACTCCATCCCTTCACAACCCATCCCTCCCTCCATCCCTCTCCCTCCACAACCCATCCTTCCATCCCTCCCTCCATCCCTCTCCCT